TTGATCAAAGATAATTTCATAATTTCAAATGTTCTTTACCAATGTTGTTGAATTCTGTCTGTCAATATAGAATGAGAAAAAAGAAACAACAAAAATAACGTGCAAGTATTGGAAGAGCAATATATCTTTCTTTTTCTGAATCAGAATTCAATCTTATTGAATAATATTTTTCTCGCATCAGCCTATATCTTCAGTGACATATTCCATCTGTAAAAAAAAGGAGTGTTATTTTATTAAGAAAATCAAGTATATGAGAACAATATTTAAATAAACACACATTAATTGAACTCAGTCTTTTTTTTCTGCTTATTTATTTATTTATTTTCAAATGTTGAATAAATAATTTTGACAGTTCTATGTCGATTAATATTTCGACTTGGACATTTCTAGATCTCTAACAAAAAAAAACAATGATCTTATTCAGTAGAATGATTTTTAACGAAAAAGAAAACGTATCTCACTCTATTATGATCGATTGTAAAAGACTTTAATTGACCAGAGTGGCAAACAAATAAATCGTGTAACAAGCATTGAAAAGAAAAAATGGAAAAATTCTAGTGTAAGAATGAGAAAATCACAGATTGCTTTCAAGATTCAACTCTACATTATAGAAAATACTGCATATTTGAAACTTCAAATGAAGTTTATTAAACAACTCGTAGAGTAGTATCATTTTCTTTACTCAGCTCTTTACTTGTACCATTATTAGCAAATATGTTTATTCAATAAGAAAACTCCAACTCGAACAAAAAATATATCACAAAAAAAGCGATGACATTTGCTAAAAATATATAGAAATAACATTTCATAATTTTTTTTCTCATATCTTTTCGTTTTCCTCAACGTGAAATTGAACAACCAAAAGTAAAATTAATAGAAATAATGATCATTTAATAGTTTATGAATGGTGAATTTTTCGTCTTTCGTATCGAATAGCAACATAGGATAAAACATGTCTGTTAGTATCTAAAAGATATAAACTGACAAAGAAAACAAATGATTTTGAAACAATTAATAAAAGAATTAAATTGTTTTATTTCATTTTTACATTGATGATCATCGGGTGTGAGTGTGTTGATCGACTCCACAATCTCACCCACATCAATACCTACACCCTCAAAAAATCTACATCATGCCAATCGCTTACTAACAAATCAATAACATTGAGTCCATTAAATAATACAACGGAAGAAACAAAAACGAAAAGCGCATCAACAGTATCGGTTATATAAACACGTTCTGCATTCATATCGAAGCTTTTTATGGACCGGCACTCATTTTTGTTTCAGTTGCGACTGAATTACTGGTCTCAGCTAGGATCTCAGCTTCCGACTACATTCGGAGTTTGACCACTTTCTCAATTATAGTGACAGCTTCGGACTTGATCACAGTGTTCATCTTGAACTTGTTTCGAGACGACTATCCTGGCTACGTCTGCGTATCGTCCAGGTTTTGGTTAAAAGTCGCGGAAGCTACACACGTTTTAAGTGTGGGTAGGGTGTGTGAGTATGGGTGTGGAGATGTAGGTGTTCTGTAAAAAAAAACCTGTTCGACTGAACCTTTTTTTTGGTACCATTTTCAGAACCTTTTTTAGTTCTAGTCAAAAAGTCTGAACTCTTTAAAATATTTCAGACCTTCGAGCTAAAACCTTTTTAAGTTCTAGACTTTTTGACTAGAACTTAAAAAAAGGTTCTGAAAATGGCACCTAAATCTAGAACTTTAAAGAGTTCAGGATCTTCGCTAAAACTCTTAATAGTTTCCTATGACACCCTTTTTTTTTAGAGAGTGTTGGTGTATAGTTGAGAAAACGACAGCAACCTCACCTGCGCGCCACACACCTACATTCACCCCCTCCACACCCACACCCACACATCGATCGGTCTCTTCTTTCCTTTGATTAAGTTTCTACACATTAATATTTATTTAGAATGAAACTCTATGCAGTCCAGATTTGCGATTCTCGGACTGATTGTCATCGGCTCCATCGACGATGCTTGGCACGGATTGTAAAAACACATTCGGAGCAGGTGCTACCACATTTGACTGTACTAACACTTTCGAGTTCATATCGAAGATCGGTACAATAAGATTTGTACGACCAGAACTATTCGTGCTATATATATTCATGTCGAAGTTGTTGGTATTATCCTACATAAAGATCAAGTTCGATTCATTTATGAATGAAAATATTCAAATAGAGGTACCTGTTTCTTGCGATAAGCTTCATCTTCGATGCCGCATTCACGTCGTTTACGCCATTGTTTGGGTAATAAACAATAGCACACATCACTTATTGGTATAATCAATTTTGGATCAATCTCTTCTGACTCAAGTGAACGAGTTAAATAGGACACGATGATACCAACAAGTACTACAGTACTGACTGCAATAGCCGAATACCATATGTAACTTACTGAATACAAATCAATAAACGGATCACGTCTAAATGAAAAATACATTTTGTCTTCGATATTAAAATGATTTTTTTCATAAAATATTCTTTGCTTTGTTTCTAATATTGAAATATATGCGTTTTTTGAAACAAACATTCTGTTCGAAATGACCTTACTTCAGTGCAGTGGGTATCGTTGAAGTTAATGTCCACGTTGTAGTCGTTTCTTCTAAAGTGCTATTCGTCACATTGGTACATTTGGCTATCGACAATGGTAAACTAAAACTTTTCCTTTGTTTCTTCGTAAATTGAGCGCCCAAAAAGATCCATAATTGCAAGGCTAGGCTCGTGATAAATCCAGCAAGTGCACCACGTCGATTGGCTTGTGGAAAAAGGAAACCAAGAATGAAGACACCCATGTTGGGACCTTCTAAGACACCGAATATAGATAGAGCCGCACTAAGAATCGATCCAAGATGGCTAACTACATAGGTCAATAACATGACACAAACTCCGAGTATGACCGACAATATTTTTGCTATAAAACCTTGCCGTTGATCAGTCAATTTTCGACCCATTAGTCCTTTGTAGAAATCTTCAATTATTACTGCTGCTAGACTATTCAATCCGGATGAAATGGTTGAGAGTGAACCAGAAAAAACACAAGCAAGAAATACACCTGGCAAACCCTTCTTATCGCTCAACACTTCCATGACAAAATATGGAAGAATTTGATCAATCTCTTGAATTTGTTTGGCTGTGTATGGGTCACAATCAGCATAATATGCATAGACGATAATCCCAATGAAAACCGATAAAAGAATAAGAATTCCAGAACCGACTGCATTAATTAATAGTGCTTGTTTCGCTCCACGTGTTGAATGAATACACATATACCGTTGTATTTGTGCTTGGTTAAATGCAAATGTAGCAAATGAATTGAAGAATCCACCGATAAGCAATGACCATATTGTATGACGAGTACGAGGATCAAAGCTAATACTAGAGACAGAAGAAGACTAGTTTGGAAACAAATAGAGATAGATCTAGAAGTTTACTATAGGTATAAATATTAACATAGTTGGAATTATAAGAATAAAAAGTCCACATTTCTATACATGCTGAGACAAATCAAATTTCACACGATGATTTTTAGATATGCATCGATGTATTCTAAGCATATTCGTCATATATTTTCCTTGAAATGATCTGGATCGGACAATATATTACTCATATATTGGGTAAATGATTCGAGTCTCATTTTCTATTACATACCTGTCTAATTCAATTCGACCACCACGTGATGCTCTGGCAAATGTTCGTTTCCAGCCACCAAGTGTTACCAAACCTAAAATGATGACAATGAACCACACATTTAAGATTGAACTTTCTATTGTTGTTATTTTCAAACCTTGAATGATGACTGCAAAAAGACCAATAAACATTACTACAGCTTGTATGACATCTGTCCAAATGATTGCTTTCAGACCACCCTCAATAGACAATAAATAAAGATGTATGCGTTTTTTCTCTGTGACTTAGAGTTTACCACAGAAGAATAAAACGTACAAATGACACCAATCGAAACAACAGAAAGCCAAACATTCAAACCGGTAGCTGAAGAAAATCAATTATTTTGTTTGTTTGTTTTTCTTCAATTCTAAATAGTATTTTTTACTTTGACTTAATGCCAACGCAGGTGCATAGAGTACAATGGCCATATAGATGAACTATACAATAGACTCGAATAATTCGAAACAAAGAAAATCTTACCATGATTAATGCGAAACTAGATGAAACACACAGTCGTATTGTCCGATCAAAACGTTTTTCTATATACTATGTTCGGAAAAATATAGCTGCTTTCTTATGTAAACAATTTTCAACAGTAACAAAATACTTCATAGGCACTTGTAAATTGCATTTCACGAAATTTAGGTACAAATACAAATCCTGTTACTATTGCAGCCATTCCCCATGAAATCGCTAGCATAAAATAGAATGTAATCATTAGTTAGAATTCTACATTCTGTTTACCCATATAAAAGTACATAGTACCAAACATGTAGACTTCGCTTGGTACGCCTAACAAGGTAATAGCCGAAATAAATGATACCATGATGCTAAGTGCCGTTGGGACGGTCTGTGTTAGAATAATTGAAATAGTTATATTCCATTGGATACCACTACTTACTCGCATGCTATGATCAGCTGTAAGAGAGAGAAATACAATTAGAACTGTTGTATTAAGAGAGTGCACGAATCCTACCTAAGAGAAACTCTTCGGCTGAATTTTTCTTCGATTTAAAAAATCCGAATATAATACCGATGACAGATGAGAAGAGAAGAAGTATTATTAGAAGAATATAATCGACAATGCTCAATGTAGATGATGCCATTTTTCCAACAATAATTCTTTTAGATGTGTACAGTCGTAAATGATTATAATGATCAGACAATATTATTGGTGTCACTTTGAATATATGATATGTAGACAATACAATTCGCTCTTATCCTTTAAATCTACCGTCTTACGAATAATGACACAAGGATTAGAACTTGATGATATGCATAAGGAGAGAAAAATGTTTGCCTTTGTTATTTTCGGTTCTACTTCGTGAACTAGAGAAAAAATATTTCATAATGAGAATACGATGTGAGTGTAATAATAATGACCTTTATTTTTGTTGGGAGTAAAAGGCAAGTTCTATTTTGATCGAAAGGTAAAAAATGTCGACAGCTAAGGTTATTCCTATAGAAAAGTGTTGAAAGACAAAATATTATACCGATAAGAATAATGCCATTTGTTGGTAATAATGGTAATCGTTACCTTATTTTTACGTCTATAATAAAATGTTTTAAAAGGGTAGTCAGTTGACCGAACAGTGCATATTAAGATGGCATTTGAATGTCACAGAATGTTTCATATCATCATTTTTTTTACGTTTCTCTTTTCATGAATTTCACAATTACAAAACGTTGAATAAGATAGAGAACAACGATCGATCAATGAGTGAACGTTAAACTTCTATTTCCACCGATGATCAAACGAGTGGCATTCAGCCAACATTTCTTCCTTCTCTGAAGACAAATAATCGACAGAAGAATCAACAATAAAAAATCTAGCAGAGAACACGAACGAATATCGGCATCGTTCGTCGATTTCAACGACAAAATGAGTTCTTGTTACGCGACAGGCAGGAACGTCGCGAGCGGAAGGAGTGAAGAGGTGTAACACCCTCCCCGCTTTTGAAAAACTTTTTTTTTTTGAACATCAAAACAGAAAACAGGTGCCCTTTACCAGTGGGTGTGGATGTGGATCAATAGGTGATCCAGAACTAAGACCCACACCCACCCATACCCAATTGTTCTTATTTTTCATTCTTTCTTCGTTTATTTGCAGGAAAACATGGCATTATCAATCCTACATCTTCCTACACAGGAAATATTTGCACAGCATCATCATTACACGGGACTCTCGAAGCCTGTTGGCTCAACAGCCACAGTCGTGAAGATAGTCAACAACAATAAATGAAATTCGAGTTTCAAAATATTTCGAAACTCATTAAAAAATGGTCTTCTTTCCTATTGGAGTGACAAATTCAATGATTATAGTGAAAACAATCCGAATGTGAAACTGACTACGACTATGTCTGGTAAATTTGCTCGCCAGCTACTTGCACTTGCATCAACCAAGGAAAATTTACATAGTTTCTACGTTTTCATCGTGAATATTGAAAGAAACAAGCAAGCATTGGACCTAGAACCCAAACTAAAAGGAGGGCTCAATGTGGAGATAAGTTGTATGGACAGCTACAAAATGATTTATCCCATCTGTTTTGAGGAAAAGGGAAAAAATTGATTACATCCAATCGTGATCAAGGAGCTCGTTTGTACTTTGAAGAAATAGCACGTTTAGCAAAATAAACGAGATAAGATCTACTTATAGAATCGATGATAATTGCCTCATATAACGGTTTTCTTTTTTTTTGTGAATATTGGTACTTTTGTGTAAGCAAGACATAGACGTACAATTTGTCTCATCTCCATTTCAAGTCGTTGATTCCGATGACCAATAACAAGCGCAATGTCCACTATTACCATCATAATTGTACATGAAAATTTTGTTCAACAAAAAAAAACCACAAGATACATTTGTCGTCAAGTTGATAGTAGACGAATAACAAGATCTCCAATTCTCCTTATTTCGACCATTTTCTTAACAAATTCGAAATGAATTCGATTCATTGAAATATCTCATGGTTTCCTATCTTTAAAAACTGAACTATATACACATAAGTCATTTGGAGAATTATTCGACAATGAAAGAATATTGTCAAGAACACGAGTTAAAAATACAATTTCAAAGGCCCATAGTATTTCATTGATATCTCGAATAGACGAAATTTAGCATATGCACATATAAGTCGATGATCTTTATTCCCAGCGGTCGTGAAGTCTACCCAAAGTATAAATGCTGATACTATAGAGAATGAGAATGAACTTACAAATTTACAATAAATAACTCTATTTCTTTTGAAATAGTCTGATCGATGGTCACAATCGATCTCCATTTCATGATCGGAGTTAAACAGGGCATTACATACATATAAGTATTATATTCGCTCGAAGCATGCATCAAACAAGGACAATGGAATTAGAATTATAGATGTGTATTAGAAAAGTACTGATACATGTATAAAATCTTATTTAACTTCATGGTTTTCTGATTTACTCTTCGTAATCCATACGGTCAACGTACGGCTGTTCTTGTTTGAAATATTTTTAACGTTACAAATCATTAAGAACGCGCTACAAATATTTAATAAAGTGTCTTTTTTCGTACACTTGTTTGAGTCGATTCTTACAATTTTCTCAACCAAATATAAGAATTTTCATTCTGAAGCTTTTTATCAGATTAGAAAGAGTTCTCGTCAAGATTTTTTTTATAGTCATACTTTTTTTTTATTGATTCGGAAGACTTTGGTTTGCAAAGTTCTTACTTCTAAAATGATCAATCACTTCTTAGCCGAGATCATTCTCGTCTAGTACATATTCCTGAGTAAGAAAAAATCTTAAAACAATTTTTGTGTTCAAAATATTCATCATTCGCTATTGTTATCATCCTTACAGAAAAATAGTATTATTGAATTTAAATTAGAAAATTTTTTATCACATAAATAAATCTAATTGATAGTAGTTAATATGGCCAAGCAAATATTTGTTGATTTTTAGATGTTCATCTTTCAAAAACTTGAATACATATTACAGACCATTCAGATGATTTAGGTTCCATTCAAAGTCCAAAAGTTTAGAAAGCATAACTTCTTCGAGATCAAACTTTTGAATGTACAAATATTCATTCGATTGACGCACGAACTTTTCAGATTGAAATTTTATAGATTTTTTTTTGCGGTAGATAGTCTTCTATACTCAAAAATACAAATAAAATTATGACAGCAAAGGAAAGAGCTACATGACGATTTTTATGACTCACAATGAGTTTGGACATAAAAATCGTCTCAACCAAAAACAATCATTCACTATCTTGTTTCAATATGTTGTGGATAACGCGAACAATCAGTGCAAGTCGCGTATGTATGATTACACAGGACCGTTTTTCTCTCTATGATGTGTTACTCAACGATTGCTTCTCAAAATAAGAGACTACTGTAATAATGTCTTCAAGATGGTCCCTTTCTAATGGATGATACGCGCAACGAAGACAAGATTTTCCAACTGAGTAGAATTACTACAGATGATATTCTTTCTATATATTGAATTAACCATGGGCTAAACTTGAATGATTCGTAATCAATTAGGAATATGTTTATGACTAGAGTTTAAAGAAGAACGTAGCCATACATTGACACTCGTTCAACTTTTATTCCAAGAAAAAAACATTTATCGGAAAGCCATATCTTGAAATCGTCGCTTGAAATTTTACTATTTTTCATACTATTGAATAACAACAGTCCACTGGAGATTGAAGTATGAAAGACTTTTTCACCGCAGGTATGTCTTATCCAAAACTATAATTCTTTTTCTCTAGTTTTGTGACAAAGGAGGGTGTGAAAGCGTGGATGGATATGGCTGTGGGTACGAGTGTGGTGTAGATGTAGATGTGTGTGTCGATAAGGGTGCATTGATTCGCTTCACCTGCCATACCTACACGCATACGCACAGCAAGATCAACACTCAAATCCCCAATAACCGCTGCAGTTATAGCCACATCCACACTAAAACGTGCATCCAGTACCATGGCCATACATGCATCCATCCACAGCCAAAGCCATACCCATATCCCGCATAAATCCTATATGAGCAAAAAGTGAATATCATCCGAGTAGTATTTCCTCTTTTGAATGACAAGAACTGAAATGAGTTCGTCCTTGACTATAATGACCGCGATTAACATGCGGAGTTTTCGGTAAAGACATTTTTTTGTGCAAAACATCTATACAATTTAGTTACATAACTATCATCCAGTGCTTGTTCGTGAAGTGAGCGATTGGATATTATTCCTTCATTCACCGACAAGATGGTGTTTTTGTTTTCGGAACTTTTTTATTTATTTATTTCTCTGAATCAATTAGAGCAACCTTTGTCTGAGCAAAGCTTTGATTGTAGGTAGCCGATATGAGTAATAAAACTGATAACTATCTGATGCAGTTGAACTATATGTCGAAAAGGCTTTTAGTTTATACAAATTTTTTTCGTATAGCTTCCTTCGCTCTTATATCTAAGAAGATTTTGTTTCAGTGTAATATCTTTCTATATACTGGGTATCGTGCATCATCTGTTGCTAGTCCTTATCAATAATCAACACTCTCTGCAATACTTATTTTTGCATACAGGTCGTAATGTTTATCATTGCTTCTTTTTCTTGTTAGTGTGTTTCAAACAGTATATTCATCCAATGATATACAGAAAAAAACCGACAGTAAGCAACAGATAAATATTGCATATACGACTATCGAAATTTTTAAAGAAGGCGCGTGGAAGAAAAGCTTATAACTTTTGAATCGAAAGTCATAGCGACCCGCAGTTTTCAGGGTTCAATAGACGACAGTCGGGGACACATGTCAATGCGGGAAAATGGTCTTCGGAAGCACTTTTTCAGACCAGTTTTAGTCTACGAAATTAAGGACAAATTAACAAATTTTTTCGAGGGGATTTTTTTTACCAGGTTTGCACCCCGACATGCTCTCTTCACATTGGTATCTAAGCGATTTCTAGATTTCGCTTTCCTGAAAGACCAGAGATCTTTTAAGAGAGCAATTTCATGTAAGACACTTTTCGCTGAAAAGCGAAAAAATACTCCGAATATAGGTTTTTGATTATGCTAATCAGCATGAAAGGGTTTATTTCGATATTGAATTGTAATTTTACGTTGAGGTCATGAGCACAAGCACATGAAAATGCTTATTTTCGAGTTCCTTTGACAAACAAAATATGTTTTTCTAACGGTCTGCTTGATTTTATCGTCTTTCTTTTTTTTTCATCAGTCTTTTAGAGCAACAGAGCTTGCCTTATTTGCTCAGAAAACAAACTGAATTTTGAAAAATGTACAAATACAAAAAGAAATATTATTCCACGTTTTCCTCATCGTCATCAGAATCTGTTTCTTCACTCTCAGATTGTATATGTGGTTCAATTTCTTCTTCCATAATTTCATCTGCTGTTCTATACATCTCTTCGACTTTATAAACATGATGAAAATATGAACTTGCAAGTTTATCATCCATCGCCACCATATATTGCTCAATTAATTGTTTTACATCATTCTGACGAAATGTTGTATTTTGATCACGAACAAACTTTTTGAAATTATGCCATGATAGTTAAATGGGATTAAGACTACAGTGTAGTTTTGGAAGACGAATGATTTCTACAGCACATTTCTTTGCAATACAATCACTCTATTAAACAAAATAAAGAAGAAAAGCAGGGTTCGAAAAACTCAAAACAGCGCTTAAAAACGTGACTTACCATATATTCTTTTGGTGGACAGTTCGTACATACAAGCTGTAACAATTGAGCTTTAACAAACTTTTGAGGGCAATTAATTTTTCGATCTTGAAGCCATTTTTGAATTTCTCCTTTTATTGAAGAACGTTTTGGAATGATTGATTCTTCTGTAAGCTTGTTGTGCCAAGTTGCGTTATCTAAACAAATAATAATTCTTTCTTTTTCACCTATGAAAAAGGTGTGAGAAATCATTCATAGAAAATTCGACTCAGAATGCGTCAACTCACCAATCTCTTCTCTTAGTGTTGCACAAGTTGAATCTAACCACGAAAGAAAATGCGTTGAATCCATATTATGCTCTTCAGCGCACGCCCAAATATCAACTGATGGAATGTGATAACCTTTGACGTTTATAAGTGCTGATACCGCCAAACGAGATCCTATAAACGAGAAAAATAATGATATGTGAGAGAGTAATTTATGAGTGACGTCGCGGCTTACCTCTTCCACCCCATTTTTTGATTTCTCCTTTACCCTCTAAAGTCCAAATTAATCTTTTAACCTCTCGAAGGTTCAACCACGTTTCATCATGATAATACAAATGAACGTTTGCTTCTCTTAATTCTTCGAGGGCTTGAAAGTATTTTGCTTTTGCCGCTATAAAAGCTTGTAAATCTAATGGAATTTTTATTTTTGATGTTCGTTGATAAATGAAGCCAAGCTAAGAAACGAAAAAAAAGCAGTTTGATGTATTTTCTTCCTTCTTGTCTACGTCAGAACAAATACTTCACTTACATTTCTCATTTTTTTGCGTAACGTACTTGCGGAATGAATAGGAAAATCTTCATATCGCTCTATCAATCTTTTTTAATAATTTTTCAGAGGTTGGATATACTTTTTCTTGAATTAATTTATGAAATTCAAATCTAATTAAATCTTTTCCTTGTTCTGATAAAATGATTTTCCGATGTCCAGAATGCACTAAAAAAAGAGCCGACTTTTACGCTGTTTAAGTAATGGAATAAATCTGTTGCCTTTCTTCTGAGGAGGCAGTGCCTGTGGAATAGGAAGATCGATGTAACTTGATGAAGAAGCAGCAGAGACAGTATGTCGACGACAAAGAATTTTCGCTGGCGAAGCAGATGCTGAAGATTCACGATGTCTGGACATTGGTAATGAGATGGTGCGGCTACGAAGGTCTCTAACATTTGCATCTACTTCATCGTTCTCTTCCATTTCTTGCTGTTGTTGTTGTTCATTCATTTCTTTCTGTCTTAACTGATGTAATTCATGCTTTAATCCGACGACAGATCTTTTAGAAATATCTAACATTTTAACAAGACGATCGTCCACATTGTAGAGAGGAATGACTGGACCATTTTTCACGCTTTCAACAAAATTAATAATATGAAACATTAATTGTTTTACTTCTTGAGAAAACTCATAATCTTTCGGCATTATGAATATAGAATTTATCTAAAACAGAATAATATATATATTTCGAAAAGAAATAACCAAAACAATTTTCACACTGTTAGGCCTTTACTTCTTTTACTTTATTATTCTCCTTTCTTTCTTGTAAAAAACAGACAACTGAATGAATCAAAAACAAAAAAAAGCAATAAAGAATGTGATTCTCTCTCTTTCTCTTATTCCACTCTTTATCTTTCTTTATCCATGATGAAAGTACCATTGAGAA